AGACTAGGTACTCATCCCAAAGAAAAGTGATACAACAGAAAGCAGAAATTAACAATATCATTAATATCACACATAAGTAACATTTTACTAAAGATAATTTAAAAACAGTTAGAAGCACATCAACAGGGAACTGTCAGAAATTCAAGCTGGATTCAGAAGATGTCATAGGACATGGGGTATCATCACTGATGTCAGATGCACCTTAGCTGAAAGCAGAGAACACCAAAAATATGCTTACTTGTGTTTTATTAACTATGAAAAGACATTCAACTGTGTGAAACATAACGAATTATAGATAACAGTGAAGAATGAAGAAGTCCACGTAGTGGATTATGAGCTGGACTGCTAACCCCAAGGTCAGCATGTCAAATCTACCAGCTGCTCCATGGGAGAAAAGTTGAGACTTTCTGCTCCTGTAAAGATTTATAGCCTTGGAAACCCTATACAGAGTCACTATGAACCAGAACTGACTTGATGGCACACTACCACCATCAGTGAAGAATGAAAATTCCAGAACACTTAATTGTGCTCATGTTGAACCTATACATAGACCAAGAAGCAGTTGTTTGAACAGAAGCAGGGGATACTTTGTCATTCAAATTCAGCAGAGGTATGCACCAGAGTTACATCTTTTTACCTTACAATCTATGTGTGAGCAAACAGTCCCAGAAATTGGACTGTACAAAGAAGAACATGGCATCAGGATTAGAGTAGAACTCATTAACAACCTGCAATATGCAGATGACATACCCTGCTTGTTGAAAGGGAAGAAGGCTTGAAGCACTGTTGAATATCAAAGACTGCAGCCTTCAGCATAGATAACACGGCAATGTACAGAACATAGAATCCTCTTACCTGAGTCTATAAACAATATCATGATAAACAAAGAAAATACCGAAGTTGTCAGTGTTTTCATTTTACTCGGATCCACAATTAATCCTTACGGAAGTTGTTGTTAGTTGTTGTTAAGTGCCATTGAGTCAGTTCCAAGTCATTGTGACCCTGTATAGGGTTTTCAAGGAGTGACTGGTAACTTTGAACCACCAACCTCATGGTTCAAACCTATCTTGATGTTGAGTGCTTATCCTGTGGCACCACACCAGGACTCCAAAGTGAAGTGTATGTTGTTATTGTTGTGAAGTGCCATCGAGTTGGATCGACCCATAGTGATCCTGTATAGTGTTTCCAAGGAGCATCTGGTGAGCTTGAACCGCCAACCTTGCAGTTCAAATGGCTTTGCAATCTGGTGCATTAACCCACAGTGCCATAGAATATGTTAATACATTGATGAGAATTAACAAAGATAAATCCTGATTTCAGCTATGTTTAGATCTATTACATAAACTTAGCAGTCAGGAAAAGAATTAGTACATTATATTTGGGCAAATTTGTTGCAAAAGACATCTTGTTAAGTGCCACTGAGTCCGTTCCAACTCAGAGACCCTGTATAGAATTTCCAAGGAGCAACTGGTGGGTTTGAACCATTGACTTTGTGGTTAGCACCACACCAGGACTCCAAAGACCTCTTAAAAGTGTTGAAAAGCAAAGATGTCACTTTGAAGACTAAGGTGTGTCTGACCCAAGTTGTGGTATTTTCCATCTCATATGCATGTAAAAGCTGGGCAATGAATAAAGAAAACCGAAGAAGAAATTATTTGAATTATGGTGTTGAAGAATTTTGAATATACCATGGATTGCCAAAAGAACAAACAAATCTGTCTTAGAGTAAGTAAGGCCAGCATGCTCCTTAGAAGTGAGGATTGGGAGACTTCATCTCACATATATTTTGGACATGTTATCGGGAGGAACCAGTCTCTGGAGAAGGGCATCATGCTTGGTAAAGTAGAGAATCATGAAAAAGAAGAAGACCTTCAACAAGATGGATTGACACAGTGGCTACAACAGAGGGCTCGGTCACAGCAACAAGTGTGAGGATGGTGTAAGACTGGGCAGTGTTGTGCTTTGTTGTACATAAAGTCATTATGAGTTGAAACCAAACTTGATGGCACTTAACAATAACAACATAAACAGAATAGTATTAGGTGTAAAATACATACAATAATGATCACAAAAACACCAAGAATACTAATAAATGGTGATGTACTAAAGCTGTTTCCATCAGTCACAGGAATTAGGAGGATAGCCACCAGCACCATTGTGATGAGCTTTCAAATCCTTTCCGCTTCTCTTGGTCGACATGAAGGCAAGAGCCTTTTAATCATGGTCATCATTCTGCATTGCTTTCTGAGTAGAGATGGTTCAAGTCCACTCATTGAAAATCTTAGGGAGCACAGTTCTACTCTGACACACATGGACTCACCATGAGTCAGAATTGACTTGATTACAATAGATTTGGTTTGGGTTTTGCCATTGGATATAGGGAATGATCCAAGTTGTAATCTCTACTTGCCTTGTCTAGAAAGAGCTCTTCATCTCAAGGTGAAAAAACAGCTATTCTCTAGGCCACAGTCCTAGGAGTTTCAAGAGGGAGGCAAAATGAGAGAGTTTTGAGAAGTTAGTCTTCTCACCATCTGGAGACTAGAGGGAGCAGAGGCAGGAAGATGGATTTTGTTGTTGAGCATCTAAGGAACTTCTAGCAGGACTGTGATGTTAGCTCTGGGGCCAGCTAGCTGGTGGGAATTAACCACCAGCAGTTAGAAAGGATGCAACTCTGTCTAGACCCCAAGGACTGATGAACTGGTCTTCAAAGAGATAGGCTACAGATGAAACGGCATGCTCAGAGTCAATTCTGGAGGTCCTCAAGTAGATTATCCACTCATTGACTTTGTAGAAGAACTATGGTGGCATTAGTGATTTCTCCCTCCCACTGTCTCTGAGAGATGGGCCGGGAAGAGCTCCCACTGATAAGGGAGGAGTCCTGTTGAAAAAGTCACAAGTACACAAATGCCAGATCACTCTTTTGTACTTAAAATTGTGTTCCTGGTCCACGTCACCAACTTTTTGCCTCACAGGGTGTTTGTGGGAGAATTCCATCATCTTTTAATTGAGTTTTCCATGAATTCTTTGGAGTCTCATCTTATTGGTGCATTTTGCCAGTTATGACAGCTAAAAACACCTGAGCCTGAGTCCTTCCCTTGTTCTCATGGCAAACTGAATGTGCGGAAGTTACCTACAGTATATTGTGTTGTATTATTAAACCAAACCCACTACCATGGAGGCAATTCCACCTGACTCTGTAGAACAGAAGAGAACTGCCCCACAGGGTTTCCAAAGTTGTGCATCTTGATGGAAACAGATCGCCACATCTGTCTCTCATTGAGTGACTGGTGGATTCAAACTGCTGACCTTTAGGTTCAGTTGAGCACTGAACTACTGTGCCACCAGAACTCCTTAAATGTTGATGTTGTTGTGTGCCATCAACTTGGTTACAACTTACAGCAACCTTGTATATAGGCTTTCCGAGAACTGCTAATGGGTTTGAATTGGTGACCTTGCAGTAACCAGCGCTTATCCTACAGCACCACACCCATTTATTGAGCACTTACTATGTGCCAAGCTCTAAAAAATGAGAGCTCTAATTAATAAGCTATCATTATATGCCAGACAGTGGACAAACATTGTCTCATTTAACAGACAGTGAGATGGTTCTCTGGACACTGCAGCTAACAGAGTTCCTCATACTGATTCTCTTAGGGTTTTTAATTGGTGTTTGAAACATTGTATTACTTCATTTGATTGTATAACTAATATGTGAGTACATTTGCATTATTTGACATTTTTTACAATACAGATATGTTAGCAGTGAAAAGTGAAAGACTTCCTACACACACACAAACTTGCATACACACCGTCCTACCACCTGCTTACCTCTTGTCCCAAGATCATTGCTTATATTTTATCACTGAATTCTCAGCAACACTATGAAGTTGGTATTATGATTATCCTGATTTTATAGTTGAATAAATTAAGGCTAGTTGTATTAGGAGCTCTGGTGGCTCAATGATTAGGTGCTCAGCACTAACTGAAAGATTGGTGGTTTGAAACCTTCCAGTAGCTCTATAGGAGAAACGTATTAACAATGTACTTCCATTAAGATTACAGCATAGAGAAGCCAATAGGGCATTTGTACACTGTCGCATGAGATCACTATGAGTCAAAAATTAACTCAATGGCACACAGCAAGAGGCAGTGTTACATTATCTGTAAGTACGTGAGACACCTTAACCACAGGTTTGAGAGAAAGAGAGAGAGAGTGTGTGTGTGTGTGTGTGTGTGTGTGTGTGTGTGTTCCAAAGTAGGCTCCTCAGGCCAAACTTAAGTCCAGTGATTACATTTCTCTAATCATGTTTGAGAGTGGGGCTTCTAAATTTGGCCCTCCAGAAAATCTCCTCTGGGCTTGAAAATTAACACATATTGCCAAAGAGGGAGTAATATAGTATTTATAATATTTGTGCTTCTGTTTCCTCAGCTGTAAAATGAGGCTAAGGGGAATACTTAATTTTAAGTGTGTTCAGAGGATTCATTGAGATAATATTTATATAAATGCCCTAGGACAGAGTCTGACATTTTCCCTGAAGAATTTGTGGGAACTTTGTGAATTTTCCATAGCTGATCCTATAGCAGGGGCCATCATTTTTGTTCTTCCTTTCCACACATTTGCAGCACTGTTATCCAGACCCAAGACTAGAAACTTTCTGAGTATTAGTGTGAGGGATTTTTTTACTGGGATACCAAAAGAACCTTTGCAATGTCTTTTAAATTGTAACGCATCCAACCCATTCAGTTGCTTACCAAGGACCAGCTGTTTTTTCTAGCCACTCTGCCCTCATCTCCTCCTGTTTTTCCTAAATTGGGCATAATAATATGAAAGGGGCAAGGGGAAAATTACTCCCCCCACCCCAAGAAAGGCCCCCAAAAGTGAAAAGGAAGCGTCGTTTAAGTGTAATCCTTGAAAATGAGCCCAGGGAAGCCTCCGGAGCCTTGCTTGTGAATTAAAGTTCTTTTGCAGCTGTAATTACTTTCCTTCTTCCTTTCCACAGGGGCTGAACTGCAGTGTCAAGAATAGTAAGTCATCCTTTTTGTTCTTGATGCTTTCTTAATAACACGATCACCTCCTGCTGACAGAAGCTCTGCCCTCCACTTCGGGGTGAGGGTGTGGGTTTAACCGGCAGCAGGAGGCATCCTTAGGGGTCTGGGATGTATGCTCCTGGTGGGCTTCTAGCAAGAATGTTTGAGATTCAAAAGTCAGGAAATAAGAGACTGGATTGGGAAGTATTTTCTGGAGTGCTGCCCTAGTGAACCTAGACTACAACCTGATTTGCTACAGTTTGTCACTGTAAAGCAAGAGACTGCTGTGGGAGGCTTTTGTTTTGTGCTTTAATTCCAGAAGGTGATGACTACTTCAAATATGTGTCTTTGCTCACCAGTTTAGGACCCCTAAACATAAAGCAAAAGGAGCTCTGGTAGCGTAGTGGTTACGAATCAGGCTGCGAACCACACGGTCAGCAGTTTGAAACTACCACCTGCCCTGCGGGAGAAAGGTGAGGCTTTCTGCTCCCATAAAGATTTACAGCCTCGGAAACCCTGTACAGGGTCGCTATGGGTTGGAACCGACTCCACGGCACAAAACCAGCACCAAACATAAAGCCAAGGAGCTCTGGTAGCTTAGTGGTTACAAATCAGGCTGCGAACTACAAGGTCAGCAGTTCGATACTACCAGGTATTCCGCGGGAGAAAGATGAGGCTTTCTGCTCCCATAAAGATTTACAGCCTCGGAAACCCTGTACAGAGTTGCTATGAGTCGGAACCGACTCCATGGCACATAACCATCAACCACCACCACCAAACAGAAAGCAACTCTTACTACAGCCCCATCCCTCCTGTGTTCTCACCTGTACTGCTGCTTCATCTCCAAACCAAGTTGTATGCTTCATCTTTTTCCCTAAAATGCTTTGTAAAGTTCAGAGCTTCATGATGCCCACCAGCCAGGCCTGAGAAAAAAGGGGGAGGAGGGGGACAGTGAGGCAGACAATCTGGCTGAGTCTTGAGAAAGAAAGAAGGTTGAGAGCCCCTGAGCCATTTTGAACCTAAATGGTGTGTCTCAGGGGGCTGGACTTCAGTCTCTGATCACAGCTCTTTCCTGACCATCAGGTACCTGCTTGGATGGCAGCTGGATCTACCCTCAAAACCTGACCCCCTCATCCCCCAAAAATGTCATCACGCAGCTGAAATTTGCCCACACCCATGATGGAGATCTAGTCCCTGTGGTTTTCATCGAATGGACATTGCAGACAGATGGTGAGTGGGATGTAGTAGGGTGTTGGAGGTGGGCTGGGGAGGGGGAGCTTCAACCCATCTCCAAGTGAATCCAGCCTACCCCTGCTCTCCAGACCCCACACTCAGAATCGAAGTCCTGGTGTGGCACTGTAGGAGAAAGCACTGGACCTAGAGGTCGGCAGTTCAAACTCAACAGCCAGTCCTAGGAAACCCTATATAGGGTCGTTATGGGCAGAAACTGATTCAGTGGCACTTAACAAGCAGTTATGGGTCCAGACACAAGGGCCCAACTTTAGTGTTGAAAGGATCAGTCTCTGAATGCAGTTTTTGTAAGGTGCTATAGAATCAATTTCAACTCATAGCAATCCATGTGACAGAGTAGAACTGTCCCAGGAGAGCGGATCGCCAGGTCTTTCTTTCAAGGAACTACTGCATGGGTTTGGAGTGCCAACCTTTTGGTTTGCATTCGAGAACTTGTACCACCAGTGCTCCTTTTAATACAGTAATATTTCTTAAGTGTTTTAAATATTGACCCACTGTGGTATCTTCTCATCTCACAGTCCTTGATGAAAAGCCTTCCCTTAGTCTAAAATCTTCAACCCTGGGGCAGAGGGTTGTGGGTAGCCAAATAGGAAGTTTTATACAACAGCAGCAGCAAAGCCCAGCTGCCATTAAGTCAATTCCAACTTCTGATGACCCCATGTGTGTCAGAGGAGAACCGTGGCCTCATGGGACTTTTCTACCGCTGTGACCTTTGGCAAGCCTTCCTTCTGCGGCACCTCTGGGTGGGTTCGAGCTGACACCCTTGGGTTAATAACCCAGTACTTAACCACTTGTGCCACAATATCAAATCTTTACTGGGAAAGATGGCAACACATTTGCCAGCCTGTTTGTTCTCTTAATTTAGGGACTGACATTGTTAAAAATAACATCCCCTTAAGCCCGCCCCTTCAGTGGTAGAGAGTTTTGTTTTTTTTACACAGATTTGGAAAGACTGGGGTTTAACGAGAACCCCCCCCCC